AATAATATTGTCATCTTGTTTATGCTTGTTTACCTTTTATGCAAATTTTTTCTTAGAGACATCTTATACGGCCAGACATGAAGTCTTTGAATATCTGGGATTCTAGGAACTTGGGCTCATTAGGAAGCCAGCGTCGTTTATGACTTCAATCTGTGATGAACGAGGCGAAGAACTTCTTTACGCAGGAGTTCCGATCACCAAGGTCCTCCAGCAAGATATAGGGATCGGTGGAGTACTCGGATTATTGTGGTTCCAGGTATGCAGTTCTTTCTCTTGGCGACTTGTTCTAAAATTTTCTAATTATTGCTATTCTATTTTGCAGAAACGCTTGCCAGATTATGCTAACAAGTTTATTGAAATATGTCTGATGATTACTGCGGACCACGGCCCAGCTGTTTCTGGCGCGCATAATACAATAGTGTGCGCAAGAGCTGGCAAAGATCTCATATCTTCCTTGGTTTCCGGTCTTCTAACCATTGTAAGTGGTGAATTTTAGACATAAAGTTGTAATTAGTAGAATCCTTATCGTAGGGAGATCGTTTTGGTGGAGCATTGGATGGAGCTGCTCGTCAGTTTTCGGAAGCCCTTGACAAAGGATGGAGTCCGATGCAGTTTGTGAATGAGATGCGAAAACAGGGAAAGCATATTATGGGTATTGGACATCGCGTGAAATCGGTATGTTCTTTGCTTTGGCTTTTAGTCCTACTTGTTCCTCAGCTGATGATGGCTTTCAGATCAACAATCCCGACAAGCGAGTAGAGATTTTGAAAAGTTTTGCATTAGACCGTAACCAATTCAAGCAGGAGACACCTCTCCTTGACTATGCTTTGTTGGTAGAGAAAATCACAACTGCGAAGGTGAGAATATATCTTTGTTTGAAATCTGGGATCTTTCACCTCTGCACGTTGTTTTTGCAGAAGCCTAATCTTATTTTGAATGTCGACGGCGCTATTGGAATCATTTTCGTGGATATCTTGCGTCATTCTGGAATGTTCACATCAGCGGAAGCACAAGAAACCATTGAAATCGGGGCCCTCAACGGACTATTCGTGCTTGGTCGCAGTCTTGGTTTCATCGGTAAGTTTAATATCTGCTCCATGAAGAAGTCGTTCGCCCAGACAGGTTAAAGTCTTGCGAGGCGTACGCGGCGCGCTAGC